CGGGTGTCCGCTGCTCCCTTTCCCCGTTGGCTTCGTACCTCGCCGCTCCGGCCCGGCCCCTGCCCAGTTGTTTCGTTCACCCACCGCTACCCCATTAGTGCAACGGGAGGGGCCAGAGGTTTCGCCCGTAGCCCCTTCCTTCACCCCCCGCTCCCCATCCCTCGTACTTGTGGCTTTAAGGGCCTGACTACTGACTCGACGGTTCTGGAAACCTATTCCTTCTGCCTGCGGAAGGGTTATGTCCCTGATGGATGTCGGCTTAAAGCGTGCTTGCTCTTACACCACTCTCTTCCTGCTTGCGTGGTTAAGTCATGTGGAAAAGATACACTGATAATATTGGGAATGCGTCTGTAGTGAGGAGCTGTTGCATTTAAATATTTTAGTTTTTTTAAAGTAGATATCTTGACGTTTTGAAGTTCATATGAAAACGCTAGGCTCTATGGTTCAAGAGGCACGTGAAGGTTTCATTTTTGTGCATTATAAAATGTAATCTGGGGCTGAGGATGTCACAAAGGTGTGAGGGTCTTTATGTGATTTTCTCAGAGAAGGACAACAGATAAAAGAAGCTGTGTGGCTCTATTGTGGGGTTTTTTGTATGATTTTATTTTTCTTGACTTTATTTACTACTTATTATTAGAGTCCTGAATAACAACATACACATTCTTTGGTTGCATAAGCTTCCTTGATTATTTAATAACCCATCTGGTACTTTAATGCTATTATTGTAAAGCGTAAGTCTGAAAAATCAAGTAACTAGATCTGTCCTTAGTTTTTCTGACTGCCTGTTCAATGGAAAAATTTAAACAATAATCAATGACATTTATTTGTGAATTAATACAAATTAGTATTACGCTTTCAATTTACACCTTTGTTAATGAAATCTGAAGAAAGGCTCATCTATATGGTCAGATACTTTCAAAAAAGTATTGTATTTTGATCAGTTTTTCTTCTGTCATTTGATATCATAAGTTACTGAATGGGCTTTAGTCTGTTGCTGTGATTTTTCAATTCGTTCATTTATTTTCTTACTCTTAGGGGCTCAGTTTCCTTTCCCACAGTTTAATGTGTGGTAATGCCACTAACAAAGACATGGTTAAAACTAGAGGTGTATTGTGTTGTCCCTCTCTGATAGGAGTGAACTAACTTCTGTCAGGGCATTTGGCAGTAGAACAGTAAGTATGAGTAAACATTTCAGTAAGTGGTTACTGCAGTCTGCTCAGAAAGAAATCGGATGTTACTGACTTTATAATCTTAAGTCAAAGTCCTGAATTTGAAAATGAGTTATAAGTTAATTAACAAGATTTCTGACAGTGTTAGAACAAGCAATACTACTTCGTGCTGCTATTGGCAGAATCTGATTAATTATGGAGCTAATGGTGTCTTCGTTTGTCCATGTTGCATGTATTAAATACTTTTCTTCTATAAAAACTGAAAATAAACCACCCCAAGGAGTAAAAAGAAAACATATGTGGAGTGTTTTGATGTTACTAACTTTAGTATCTATACTTCTGAATTTTGATATATTGCTTTAAAGATCCTTTTGAAGGGCTATAAAAAAAACAATGGCTATTCTTCTAGAGACTGCTTTTTGAATGAGTTGTTTAGTGGTACACTTTTGTTTCCTCTTCTAGGTTCCAATTCTTCAGACAAACAATGGTCCTGGTCTGACAGGATTAATGACCATAGCTGCTCACCTAGTTAAACAGGCTAAGAAAGACCAACTGCTTGGAAGGACTGCAGAAGAGAAAGCTGTTGTTCAGCAGTGGTTGGAATATAGAGTAACTCGAGTAAATGGAGGCTCTAGTAAAGAAGATACTAGAGTAATTCTGAAGGTAAGGGGGATTTTATTACTTTGCAACTGAATTTTGGGGTGACTAGACCTTGAAGGAGATTACAGTGCTAATGTGTGCATGAACAACCAATTAATCAAACAGAAAATGCTGAAGACTTGGCATTATCTTTAAGTACTGCCTTTTATTCTGGTTGCTGCTTTTCACTTCTGTTGACAGAAATACCCCAACAACCTGAAACCAGAGGGAGAACAGCTTGAACTGTAAAATATATGAAGCAGAGCTCTGGCAGTGTTTCATGGTCGTAATGCTGTAAACCACCTAGAGCATTCTAGATAGTTTAGAGATTGTTCAGTTGTCTAGTCTGTTATTAGCCATGTAAGACAACAGTTTCTTACTGTCTTCATAAAACCTCGGTTATAGTCAAGTTGTGTTGTAATATAGGATTACAGGATAATAGTTTTAAGTGCTGCTTTTATTGATTTGGCAGTTATGGAATGCAGGCCATGCTTGATGTTGTAGTATTTGGTATCGATACCGAAAGGACAGAATTTTGTGTGAAAAGTGAAATCATAAAGGAACTTCTGCAGAACTGCCCTTCACATCGAGCTACTTTGTATGGAGACTTTTTGTCTAGTGTATTAAACTGTTCTTGTAGTCTTGAAGCTTACTTAAACAGGTGGAAGCAGAAAAGAGAATCTCAAGGGTCACCCTGTTATTTGAGCAGCCAGATGGCAGGGAGTAGATAGCAAAACTTAGTTTTCCTCCTTATTCCTTGTGACTGGTAATTAGTGTTTGTGCAGTCTTCTGGGAACAGAGCTTGAAGAGAAAATTTGCTTTACACTGTTAAGTGCTCAGGGCTCTGTTTACTAAGCATGTATGAAACAGCAGTGAAATTTTATCAATTTTTGAAGTTTCTTTTTTCTAATTTTAGAAGTATCTTTTAGATGGAAAGTACATAAAGTTCAGTGCTACTAGTGAGTCTGGGTTTAGAAATAACAGTGAGCTGCAGGGTATTAGGAAAGTTGACTTTACTTGAGGCTAGCAGATTCTCAGTTTATACTTCTGATTTGTTAGGTGTGGGGTGTCTGAGTCACCCAGAACTATTGCAGAAACCAAAGATAACTCAAACACTGCTTCAGCTTAACACACTGTTACTTAAAATCAACGAAAATCTTAAAATGGCACAGAACAAAACCTTGTTAGTAATCTCTTGCCATTTTCAAACTGACAGCCTCCTTGATCTTGAGGTTTTGGAATATCGTGCCTGCTTTACAAGGATCAACTTGGTGAAAGCCCTAAAGAACCATTTCTCTCAGTTACACCCCAGATAATCTGAATTATCTTGATCTCACTGTATCTATGGAGTGCCTTCCATTAGTTAAGCATGAATTTGTTTATGTTGCTTCTCTTTTTGTAGCAGCTCTGGTATTATTTTGTATGTGCAAATGTGTCAAATCCTACAGTTACGGTTAATCTACAGATACCGCATGAAAACTCTACCCTTTGGGATTTTCAGAACTTGACTGAAGGAGTCATTGACTAATCAGGATTTAACTTCAGGTTTAGTTTTACTTTGAACAGGTGGTATGTCTAGGTGGCCTTCACAGGTTCCTTTTGTCTAGTGAATTATTAAAGAAACCTCCAACTTTATGACAGATATTACATAAAGAACTGAAGTTGTTTTTCAAACAAATTTATGATGCCTTTTGTTCTCACCCAAATTGTGAGAAGACCATATTAGAATAAATAACTTCTACCTTTCTTGCCCTTCAATTGCATGAAAACCAGAAACAAGTTTTCTGTCTTATTCACAAAATACATCTGCTCTAGATGACTTAAGTGATTATACTCGTGTGTATGTGCTGAAAAAGCAATATTTGCAGAACTGCATTTGATTATTAAAACCAGATGTAGCTGGTATCTCTTCAGTTTTAGCCTTAGCAGCACTGGTAGTGTCGAAAAGACAGTGCACTGAAATATGAATATGTAGGTAAATTAAGTGTTTCCAAACAAAAAATTTTCTTACTGAGAAACAGTCAGTGTCACTTGTGGGAGAATATCTGCCTTAAAGTGGTAATAGCTATTACAAAATACTTAAAATTTTTCCCATGGATTATTTTTCTTAAGTGTTGATTGGACAGAATTTATTTTGACAGAGAGCTGCTCTGGAATTGTTCCAGCACTAATAATTTCATATTATAGCAATTAAGATTTTTTTTTAATTTGTTCTCTTGCCACCATGATTAATCAGAAGAAGCAGCAGCCTACCATTAAAGTATACTATGCCAAAAGGGAGTATGGGTGAAAAAAATAGAAACTAAAGTAGGGAAGCAAGTCTGAGACTGTAGTTTTACAACGTGTCTGGAATATACAATGGCAGTCTTGGGACAGTTGCAGCCTAGAGCCACAATTTATAATAAGCTGCACTGAAAACAGTTCAGTCACTTTTGCTATAAACTTTAGGCTGCCTCTATTTAACCCTTAACTGAGGTGACAGTTTCTGGAAGACATCAGTAAATAATTGGTTTAAGGTCTGTTAATCTGAACAGGAAGGGGTTTCTCTTGGCCTTAGGAGAATATGTTCTTAAATTGTTCTTACTGACACGTTGACTTGAACTGTTACTTGGCATGAAAACAATAATGAAGCAGTCAGACCATCTCAACCAGGTTTTTTTATATTCATTCAGTGCAAATGTCATAGTGTTCAGAAGTGGGCAATGAAAGTGCTCTTTCAGTTTTGTCTAACTTTGATTTGAGCTCCTGTACTGGACAAAATAAATGGGACCAGTACCTTTGGGCTGTTCTTCAGTAGGTATGTAGGAATTATGACTGTCAGTAGGGGTGGTAACATAATGTCCAATGCATTATGTTAACTTTCTCGTCTGTGGAATCAAAGTATTTTTCTTTGCCACTTTATTGTTTGGCCAGTGGTAAATTAAGTTGCATAGGAAAAAAAAATACTGAGTGGTTGTATTGATTTTTTTTTTCCTGCTCTTCTGGGAAAGAATTGAGAAACTTTTGTGACACCAAATGTCTGCTTATTATATTCAGGAGATTTGAATGTCTCTACTTGGTCAATTTTAGGTATTCAAAACTTGAGGGTTGTTTCCCTACCTTCAGAGCCCACCTTCAGAGGCATGTTTGGAATAACTGGGAGCTTCTACTTGAATTCGTAGAAGAGCTTTCACAGAAATATAGAAGTCTGGAGTCTCTGAGGGATAACTGTAACCAAGAATTTTGTGTGCTACTATCAGTGTCTCATACAAAAAAATGTTCCATTATTTCACTTTTGTCCTGATTTCCTATGCTATTTGGCTGTAATCATGGAATCCAATTAGAATCTGAATAAGAGTGGTTTAATTCTTATTTAATTTGCTTGTTTGAAAAACTGTTTCCACAAATATGTAAGCAGGTTACTCCATGCTCTGTCCATGCTGTTAATCTGCAGTTCTTTGGCGAATTTCTAAATGGGGTGCCTACCCACTTTGACAGGTTTGTCCAGCAAAGTTTCTTTTAAACTTCAGCTTTCCATGTTGACGTCTCTGCCTTCTCTGTTAGAACCAGGGTATTTTAATGTGCTTATAGGTGTAAAAGACAGAATTTTGATTATTTGAACACCACTTATTGATTATTTTTCTCTTGTCTTTTACAGGAAACTCAGTATGTTGAATATAATATTCTTCCAGACTGGGCTTAGCTCACAGTTTGCCAGTTAGACAGAAAAGTCTTGCATTTGAGTGAAAAATACTGGTGTGCCCCAACAGTGAAATTGTACTTTTCTTGAATATGGCTGCAGAATCCTTTTCTTGGGTTCTGCATTGTCAGAGTCTTGCCTGGGGCATTTAAGAGTGACAGCTCTTTCTTTGCATGGCGTGATAGAAAGGCATTTAGGGCATAAATGACCTCTAGAATATTACTGACTGAAAGGATGTGCTGCTTTGTGTAAGGGAAATACATACACCAGCAATGTGGTGGTGTGGACAAGATATTCTAAACAAAAGCGGAGTATAATTAGATCCAGTGTAAGCTTATGATGTATGATTAGATCCAGTGTAAGTTGTTGTAAGAAGCAACTGTTAATTACCTGAGCTGCTGTCTCGACTTGCAGTGACTGTGGAAGGGATTCAGTTGCCTTAATTGGATGAACTGGATTACAGACCATTATGTTGCATGCTGAAATGGTAGTAAGCGACACGGTGGGGTTGAGCTGTCACTGCAGATACGGGTTGTAAATTGGATTTTTTTCCATAGAATAAGCAATGGAAATCCATCAGTTAGTCCATAAATAATGCAACATTTCTTCTTTTCATTGCTTTTTCTCCCCCATACCGAAAAATGGAATTTGAATTGCTGCAGTTGTTCTATGCATATTAGTGCATCAAACTGCAGTTATACCTTAAATACCCATCTGAAGTTTGAGATAGGGTTTCCTGAGGGATTGCAACAGTAGGTTCATGTAGTTACAAGCAACTTCCAAGGCTGTTTAAGTCATTTAATACTGGGATTGTATATACAGAATCAATTTAAGCAGTGATGTTCAGTATATGAAAGATAATAATACAAGTGACAGCTAACAGATCTGAATTTCCTTGATGGAATAGAAATTCAAATACGATTTTATACTCATATTTTCCTTAATCTCTCCAGGACAGGAGCTCTATTTCAGTTTAATACTGTAGTCATTTAAGAAAACCTGACTTTCAGGAACTTTAACACAGTTGGCTATTAGCCAATAATATAATCATCTATGGGAAGCATAACTCACGAGGCAGGATTAACTAAATGTGCCTAGTGCCCATGAAAAAAAATTCTAATGTGGTGTTTCTGAATTAGCTTGACTTACAGAATAAAATCAGAATATCCTCTATATTTTATGAGAGGAAAGTACATGTTCAAAAACAGAATTGTAAACTAATGCTAATTTATCCAAGACTAAACTATCTTTGTCAAATTCTGTTTGCTCTGTTAACTAAAATTTGATGAACCAGATTAAATAATTGTTCACACTGTGGTGGCTTACCTTGCCTTTCAAGTTTTAGGATTTTTTTTGTTGATGGATAGTTTGGCTGTACATGCACAGTATATTCAAAGAACAGTTTATTTGTATGATATTAACCCATCCTGAACAACTTTGCAAACAATATTTCTGCATAGAAATCAGCCTACCACTTGAAGATTTATAAAACAAAGAATTAGCATGCCATAACTTCTTTGAAGAAATACGAAATTTTCAGCAGGGAAATAACTGTGTTGATTGTACCTTCAGAGATAATGAGCTTTTTAATTTACAAAATCCTGATTTCATAGCCTAGACTAAGGAGAAAGGGAGTAGAAGATGGGGATATAACTTCAGTGGTATTACTTCTCATAATGCGTGTTAAATTTCTGATAAATCAAAATGAAAAATGCTGGTCAGAGAATGTGTCAGAATAGACAAGTTTATGATTTCTTTAGTAAACAGATCTGTAGATATTTTTCTTTCCTCAAGGTTTTTCTTAACATTGCATTTGCCTTTGTGTTGTGTGTATGAAATTCTGCAAAACTGTAGTTTCATGTTTAAAGTAATTTGAGAGCTAACTAACATGAGCTAAGTAGTAAACCAGTCTAAAGAAAAGAAGCTATATAGCCAGGGGCAGATGACCTTACAGAATTTTCACTATGTAGGGGTTAATATTTTCCCTGATTTGCTTTAATAAAATAAATCAAAGCAGACATAAGGATGTTTAAATATTACAGAAGTACACTAGTCCTGTCATGAAGAGGTTATTAAAGAAGCAATAAGGTGGCATAATGGAGTTGAACTTGTCAAATTCAAATGCAAGGTCAGACGTCTTAAAGTCTCTGCAGTTTAGTTCAGTGTTGGTTTTTTTTTTAATATATGCACCATCGGATATCTCTATCAGTAAAATTCTAGAACCACAAAAGGTGCAATATGCTGAAGGCTAACTGTAATTTTTAAATTGTTCATTAATTATTAACCTCTTTTCCTTGCCCTGAACGTCTTGTTAAAATAAAAGGTTGCCTTAAAATGGAACATGGTGTAATGGAGACTGAAGCTATTTTAGGGATGTTTTGTACAATGCTAATTGTTTAAGCTGCTTACCTCTATTTCCAGGGTGACATGGGGAGATGGCCTAAGAAAACTGTCAAGAGATCTGTGACGAAAAAGGAGTGCATTTCCTACAAATTTTGGGTTTTTTTTCAACCAGCAGAGAAATACTAACTGGGAGAAGGAGAGTTTCCAATCCAAGGAAAAACTGGGAAACACTTTTCCTACATTTCTGAAAGGAATATTATAAAACTAAAGCTTGCTTATGCTAGGATCAGGGTTAAACTAGCTAATTTTGTTTGTTGTTACATTTTCTTCTTTAGAGTGAAGTAGGGGACAGAAAGGTGCATTAACTAGATGAGAAGTAGATAAGATGTCAAGAAAAGGAGGAACAGGTAAAGAGGTAGAGCTGCTGTGTGATGCCTGTGTTCTCTGAAGTGATGCACTTGTGCAATGATGAGTCTGTCAGCCTCCTGTTTTCCAGCAGAGAATAACTGCATACAAAAAGCCATGAAAAAGGGTCTTTCAGTAGTACAGATTTGAAATATTTACTCACTGAACTTAAATGGAGACTTTCTACTACCCACCCTTATAACCTCCAATACAGAATTGTTGAGAAAGTTGATCTCAGAATGCTGAAGCTGTGATCTCTTCGTGTGGACTTAGATTGCAACTGAATTGACAGTATCAGTCACTAAGAATTGCTGGCAGTGATTTCAACATTAATAAAAGCCAGTGTCAAATGATACTAGCTGACAGGCATCAAGTTTTCAGCACTGAGCTTGAAACATGTTATTTGTCTCCCATCCTGCTGTCCCTTTGTGTTTACTTGGTTCTTGCAGATTTGCAGTTCTAGAACCTTGCTGACCAGCTGCGTGGAGTGAGTCCTGGAGGACCGGAGAAGCTGCTGCTGGAAGAGCAATATGCTCTCCTTTGGTCATAGGACTGCATTTTCCACTTACCAAATGTTAAATGTATCACGGTGGCGCTTCTGAGTCATATGCGCTAATAAAAATACAACTCCAGCTTTTTCAGTATTTGAAATAGAATAATATAATAATTTGAAGCCAAGAAAAGACAGATTTGAAAGTATTTCTGTGGAGTCATCTTAATATGTAAAATAACTCACAGCTATATTTACCAAAAAATGATTGCATATAAGTGGGACAGTAAGTGAGAGTTACAAAAAACTGTATGCCAGCAGCAAGCTGGCTAGCACTTTGGTTAGAGATCAGTATTTAAATTTTATTGAATTCTGGCTGTCAAAGAACAGTATTTTAGTTTATTAACTTGGCACTTTTTAGATTTTTTTCTTCTGTTATTGTTTTTCTTTCCTTTGAGTTGGGATAAATTAAAGCTGGCAATTTTTTTTGTATGCATGGTCTCCAGAGGAAGTTTTCTATTATTTTTAACAATTGCCTTAATATTTTGCCTTACAAAGTAAATACTATAGCAGTATAATGACTTTCTTTTCTAGGATCTTAATGTACACCTTGAAGATAAAGTCTACCTTGCAGGAAACATTTTTACCTTAGCAGACATTTTGATGTACTATGGATTGCATCATGTTATGGTAAGTGTTATTTGCATTATTTTTGTACATACAGTTGTCGTAATTGTTGTTTATCTAAAGGGCAGTTTATTGTTGTAGAAGTCAACCTACTGAATTGATCAATGACAATTTCAGAACAAGAATGGAGAGATTTCTTACAAGACCCTCAAAACTTCTTAAGCTGTTCACTTTTTAGTTTTTAAATGCTTAGCAATAGGTCTGTCAAAAGAAGTGGGTTATCTGTAGTGTCCAGAGTGCATCAGTTTCCTCTGTGGAATGTAAGAAGGATGATGCCTATCCCTGTGTTTCTAGGTACAAGGACTCTATCTGTTCAAGTCTGAAACATGACTGCTTACGGAACTACATGGGGTAGTTAAATGAAACTGAAAGGACTAACCTTGTTAGTACTGGAGAAATGCTACTAGTGCTATGAAGAGTGCTTGAAAATTAAGTTTCTGAAGGATGAATGTGTATAAAAGTGTCTGCTGTTTGAAGACTTAGTGATAAGACTTGATAATATACAGAATATGAAAATAACATGGGAAGCTGGTGATTAGGAGAAAAAAATACAGCAGAAACAAAAAAAGAAAGTAAAGGTTTGTACTGAGTGGACAAGATGTTGAGATTCTTTGTAGTCAGCTCAGGGTTTAATATGAAGTGCTTTATAAATCATTGCACCTCAGTTCTGAACCCCAAGTGGTAATTTACAGACAAAGCAGTAGAAATTATTTGTATTTTGGTGGCTGGAATGCAAATGTAAATGAGCCGTCCTTCTCTGGAGTGGGAACTACTCAACAAACCAAAGGACTAATACAAAAAAGTCTGCTAAATCCTCGGGAGAATATAAAGTCAGTCAGTTTTACATTAGAAAATGATGGGGAGAGGTGATTCAGAAAATGCTGCCTCTAACAAACGCATGTGCGTTTGAGGATCAGGGAATTCAATCAACTGGGTGAATGGTTACTTTATACACTTAAAAGCAGGGTTCTGGAAGAAGAGTGCAACACTGTACTTCAGAAGGGAGGCTGAGGAGAAGGGGAAAATGATCAAGTTATTAAATGCTACTAAAAATGAGAGAGAACTTTTGTATCTTTATCTTGACTGTCCAGGAGTCAAAATTCAAAAGAGAATGTCAAGCAGAGGAGAGGGAAGGGAAGCTTCATTTCAGAAGGTTTTTTCAAAACATGTTATAGTAAGTCACTTAGAATTAATTCTGTTAAAGCATATTTGCCTTGTAAAATATCTTATGTAGTAGGATAGATGTGTTGACTAGAGTGTCAGAATGGGTTACTTTTCACAAATGATATGTAGACGTAGCAGAAATGTGTAAGTACTTTCTAAAAATAAGACTGTATATACAGTAAGAGTAGAAGTTCAAATTCTACATTTTTTTAAAAAAAAACTTAGGCAGGGGAAAATCAAGCATATTTTAAATTTAGAGTTTGCTCTAGAGTAGACCACCTAATCAAGAAGAAAAGATACAAGTTATTGCTTTGGGAAATAGAACAGATGGTAAAAACAAATGACTTGGTGCTCCTGGGTGCCTGCAACCATCCAGACAGTACTTGGGACAAGTTTGCAGTACAACATCTGTTTCTGAAATGTTTGATTTCATGGAAGATAATTTTCTGAATCAGAAAGCTGTAAAGGGCAAATAATGAGATGGCTATCCGAAATACAGACGAAAAGCTAGAAGTTACTAGCTAGGAATTTTGTATGTATTTTGAAGCTGTCAGAATTTATATTAGTACTTAACTGTAGAGGTAAGATCTTGAACTGTAAAATTTTATTTCCATTTTTTTGTTTTTATTTTTCTGTAATGAGAAGAGTATGTCCAGAGCTGCTTCTCTGCCCTAAGCTTTAAGGGAAGGGTGAGGGAGAAGAAAGCTACTGTATCTGTTAATACAACGTAGTCCAGGGAAGCAGTTTGTCATATCCACTACTGTTTACTACCAATAAGTGTTTCCTATAATCCTTTAAGAGAGAAGTAGAAATGGGGGACATGGGGAGGGAGACCCACAATTCTTGCTGTTCATCAAGCTCTCTAGAAGATTGATCTGAAAATGTTACTGATAGTGACCTTTAGGATTAATGTCTCTGCTTTTGATAGACTAACAGCTACATGCTAACACAGACGTTAGTAATAGAATACTGTAAATATTAGTTACATACCATGGTCATCCTGAATGAGCCAAGTTTTAATACAACTTTAAAAGCCTTAAAATGCACACTTCATTGGAAGGGTTTTTAAGATGGTCCAATCTTGTTGCTTACTTCTTCAGCTGTGGCTTTATTTTCCTTTCTTAGTTTTTATCAATATACATGATACACCTTTGTATTCCTCCTCTCCTCCCACTTTCATTTTGACCTTCCCATTATCCAGGGGGGATACTGGGACCTGATTCTTTACTGTCTAGGCTCATGCATTTGAACTTGCTAAACAGTTCATCTACTGAACAGCAGCAACTGTTAGTTTTGCAGCTGTATGCCTTTCTTTCATTGTTCCTCTCCTCTAGTTATCTTAATAAGCACGATAGTACCATATGTTTAAAAAAAATCATATTATGGGAAAGGAATCGGTATTTTAATGAAAGTCAGATTCCCAGCTAGTATTTCAGGCTTCTTGCAGACTGAGTCTGTTGAATAGAAATATACGCTTGTAATAATGAGGCCAGAACTAAATTATAAATATTTTTGTTCTGCATGATAATATAGGTCACAAACACCAAAAGTGTAATGACTTGTACTAGCTGTCTGAATGAGCTCTTTCAAGTCAGCCTGACTTCTATTGTCCTGTAATTCCACATATCCATGAATCCAATATAAAGATTGTTGTCTTTAGACACTTTGATTAGTTAAATACATATGTGGATAAATACAAAGAACAATGTAGTTCTACTAGGTTAAAGCACGGATTGCAGAGAAAACATGAATTCAGAAGCATTGCTTGAGGATAGCTCAGGCAATCAGTAACCATTAAATTCCCCCTGTGGTAATGAACTTGTTTTCATATCATTTTTTTTTATTTAAAATAAAAAGTTTCCCTGTGTTCTTTATACTTAAATAGAACTGGACTTAACGCTATTTGAAAATACTTAAGAGAAATAATCAATATGATGGTTGATCTGCTTTTACACTTCAAGAATTTTGTCAAACCAAATAAGTAGTCTCAAATCTGTATGTCTGACTTGAAAATTTCTCTAATAAGGTCTAGAAAATAACTTATGGGTGCAATTTATATCTGCAAATGGAAGAAGCCTCAGTCAAAATTCTGGGGTCAAATCAAGTTCAAAACAAGTACAAAACAAGGTTGTTCTCCTCAGGTCAGAACAACTAATAGTGAACTGTGAGCCAGCAATAGTAGGCTATTTTCCAGTTATTTTTTTCCATAATGAACATTTCTTGTAATAAACAGATTGCCATGATTTTTTGGGTAATATTCACTGATATGCTGCTTATCTTAGTACTGGGATAACAGGCTTTCCTTTTAAAGAATGATGCTAGAAATTATACTTAAACTGAATTACAAAATCCAGTTTTAATTTAAAGAAGAATTTCATTTTAAGCATGTTCCAATAACAGCAGAAAATGAGTCAAAGCTATGTGAAAGTAACATTTATTAAATACTCCATTCAGCTGTGGTTTTTTTCTTCTTTCCCTTGTATCTAAAGGCTAAATTTCAAAAGTGAAGTAGTGTCTTATCCTTTTCTTGATGCTGAAGAACTTAAGTTGTAGGCAGGTATTTTTAGACTTCCCATGCACGTGCAGGGTGTGGGAATGGGAATTTACACCTGCGTCCCCAATGCTATTGAAAGCAAATATAATTAAAGATTGTGTATTTGTAGCCCTTCTAGAAACTCTTCTAGTTGCACTGTATAATGACCACCTTGGTTACCCTTTGTGAGCTTTGTGGTGGGAGAATGAGACACCTTTTTCCATGGCATTAAAAAAAAAACCCTGTCAAATTGAGTGTCTCCTTTGCTATTGAAATAATTGCTTTAATAGCAAATAATTATTTTAACAGCAGAACAGCAGCCTTTCTTAACTTGGGGGAATTATCTAATTTAATGAGCAAGAACAGAAAATACCCATCTAACAGAATGCTGTAAAAAAAAAAAAAATGCCATGGAAGTGATCTCTAAACAATTAACCTAAGAGTTATGTTCTGAGTAAAAAGTAGAGCATGCCACAAAGTGCTTTTTAATATATTTCACTGATAGAGTACATTATGTAAATAAGTAAAAATATCTTGCTTGTTGTGCCTAGAGTACAAAAAGAGGTTTTGTTATTAAGAGTAGCTGTCTGTTTTGCCCTTCAGATGTTTTTTCACTATGCTAACAGAATGGAGGAGATCTACTTTTCCAGACTTTACTTTTGATTTACATCAGAGAGACATGAAGACTGAGAATTAACAGCATTTCCTCCTCATAATTCTGTACTGAATCTGCTGCAAAATCTGAAGTTTAGTTCAAGCATTTTCATAACCAAGTGCTTACCCATTAAAGACTTTGAAAAAGGGTATTGTAATAAGTGAACGACACTCATGGGACTTAGTTACAGTATTTTTATTACCTCCTTATACTTAAATACTTTTTTTTCAGTAATTTTAGATGACCTTAGGGTATACCTGTTGCTCTTTTCATGTTCTGTGTTGCTTTGTAAATGATTCCACAGTGTCATACCAAGCACCAGCTTCCAACTGCTATTAATTATAACAAACTGTAGGTGAGTTTTGTAGG